CCAGGTCTCTCTCCATCCGGAAAGAGGTCAACTCAGATGATGAGACGAATAAAAGATGTCCAAGGTAGCCTGATTACCAAGTAGGAGAGACAAACAAAACAATGGGCTGATCACTTCAAAGGAATCACTTGAATCGACCATCACTTGCAACTCGCCCAGAGATACCAACAACAACAACAACAACAATAACACGCAGACAACTGCCTGCCAATGGACACCAATCTTCCAACGAGAGCAGGAATCCTAAATGCGATCAAGCTGCTGAAGTCCGGCAATGAAGAACGATTAGACGAAATCCCTCGCGAAGCACTGAAAACAAACACAGAGACTGCAGCACCCGTGCTCACTCCGTTATTGCAAGAGATTTTGAAGGAAGGAAGGTGCTCACAGATTGGACCAAGCCTAACTTGTCAAGCTACCAGAGAAGGGTGACTTACGTCTCTGCAAGAAATGACGTGGAATAATTCTCTAGACGACGCCAAGTAAAGTACTAAGTCGCGTCATCCTGGAGAGGCTAAAACATTCACTGGATGCGGAACTACACCTCACCATACCAAGCTGGATTCAGGAAAAGCAAATCATGTGCTGGTCAAATTGCAGCTCTACACATCGTCATCACAGAACAAAGCATAGAATGGCCATCAAATCTCTATGTCTATTTCATCGACTTTGTAAAAGCCTTTGATAGCGTTGACGGAGAAGTAATTTGAGAACTACTTCAACACTATGGAGTGAAGTCGCCCAAATTTTTATTAAACTCATTCAACAGCTGACTACATGACAATGGTACGTGTCAGGTGATCCACAAGGTAAAACTTAGCGAAGCCCTTGAAGTGAATGCAGGAGTAAGATTAAGTTGACTGATATCACCAGCGATGATATTCCTGATTATGGTGGACTGAATTATCCGGGACACCATGGGTGTGGAGCGAGAAGACAGGAATACGTTGGACTGTCCGATAAGAAGACTCTAGAAGATTTGGATTTCGAGAGTGGATGGTTCATGTCTAATGTCACACAAACTCGAAGACTTACAGGTAGGTGGAAACCAACAAACTGACTGACTGAGAGAGAGAGTGGCAGTGAAGACAGGACTCCAGGTGAACATGGAGTAGACGGAGGTGGTGAATATTACCAATGAACAGAACAGCAACAGCAACAGCAACAATAACAACACCAACCAGCACCAATCACCATCAAACGGAGAGATTTGTCACAGGTCACTTCCTTCACTTATCTGGGGAGCAGGGTTTCAAACACAGGCAGTCGGAACAGATGAAGATGTCAAAGCTGGCCAGAATCGAAAAGGCAAGACACGCTCTCATCAAACTGAGACCAGTTTGGAAATCTTCTACACTGCACTCAGCACAGAAAACTAGATTAGGATTTTCAACACAAATGTCAAGTGAGTAACTTCTTCCATAGGGTTGGGCGTGAGGCTAGCGACACTACACTACAAAACCAATCAGACTGCTACAGAAACTTCAAAGCACGAAGAGTGTATATTAAAAAAATACAAAGTATTTAAAAGACAAACTTGTTCTTCGCTGAAATCCGAGAAGCGAAATTACCCAGTGAGCTAGTGGAAGTCTTCGGGAAGCCAGGCAGCCAGGCGATGCGTCTGTATTCTTCCGATGAAAGCAAGAATAAGGATGGAGACGTGGAATGTATGTCGACTTTACGGAGCTTACTGGGGAGGCTTCTCGGGTGGCCAAATAAATGAGAAGATATGGTGTAGAAGTGTTGGGTATCTGGGAGAGCAGATGGAATGGATTAGGACTGTCAAAATTGTCAACTGGTGAGTGAGTAATCTACTCAGGTCACCCAGATGACAACCACAAGCACACTGATGCAGTCAGTGACTATAATGATGTGACCAGTGCTAGCCAAAGCCCTGATGCAGTGGGAACCAATTCCATCCAGGATCATGACAACAAGATTCAACTGGAAAGGAGGAAGCAAGCAAGCAAGCAAGGAAGGAAGGAAGGAAGGCAGGCAGGAAGGTCACAATTATCCAATGCTACACACAATCCTACAAACAAGGTGGAAACAGTGGAGAAGAGGGAAAATTTTCACAGACAACTGCAAACAGTAATGGACAACATCCCGAATGGTGACATCAAAATCCTTATGAGCGATATGAATGCCGAGCTGGTAGCAGATAATACAAGAAGAGGACTAATCATGGGTCGACAGGCTCTCGATCGGCTAAATGAGTGAGAACGGAGAATTACTCTAAGCCTTCTGCGCTTTCAGTCATTTGGTGATTCCAGGCAGCGTGTACAAACACCAGGATATACACAAGGCCAGTGACATGGATTTCGCCCGATGGACAAACCAAATACCAGATAGACTTCATCTCATTCTTCCTCAAGGAAGTGTAGACTCAGCCTGCTGGACACTAAATCGAGAAGGCGAGCAGATGTCGGCTCAGACCATCAGTTAATTAGTTAGTTCAAGGAACCTCCAAGGTGAAGCTGAATTCACTCAAAAAAGCTAGAGACGGGCCACAACTCAAGTGGAACACTTAGAAACTGAAGGATGAAACTACAAACCACTACATCTTCACTGTAGCCATCGAGAAAAGTCGTAGGAACCACATAGCACCACTGAAGAAACCGGTGTGGAAGAACACTGGAACTCCCTGAAAGTAATCTTCAAGGAAACGTGCACAACCGTTTCAGGAAGAGACAAGAGGCAAGACAAGCAATGACTGTCAACGGACACCTACCTGGAGGCTAATACAAGACAGGAGGATGGTGAGATAGAAGATGATCTAATGCAGAGATGGACAAGAGGACAGAAGGAGAAGCTGAGTTCACAGCAATGTACACTGCACTGAATAAAGAAGTGATGAAGAGTGCTCGGAGAAACAAAAGGCAACTCTACAACACACTGGAGACTGAGGAAAACCAGCCCGAAGTAAAACAGACATCAGAACAGTGTGTCAGATAACCAGGTCTCTCTCCATCCGGAAAGAGGTTAACTCAGATGATGAGACGAATAAAAGATGTCCAAGGTAGCCTGATTACCAAGTAGGAGAAACAAACAAACCAATGGGCTGATCACTTCAAACGAGTCTTCAATAGACTAGCATCTTCATCTGCCTGAGAAATGGAAACATTTATTTGTCGACAGTGATTTATAACAAGTAACAGACGTTATAGTGAAGAAGGATTTAATGAATTCATCAAATTTCAGTAAAGCCCGTCAGCTGAATACCCTATATACAAAGAGATATAAAACTGACAAGTAAGTTAACTACATTCAATGTGTCATGCAAAACGAGAGGAGTGTATATGTTCCAGATCACATTCAGAGGGCTGGTTTTCCTCAGTCTCCAGTGTGTTGTAGAGTTGCCTTTTGTTTCTCCGAGCACTCTTCATCACTTCTTTATTCAGTGCAGTGTACATTGCTGTGAACTCAGCTTCTCCTTCTGTCCTCTTGTCCATCTCTGCATTAGATCATCTTCTATCTCACCATCCTCCTGTCTTGTATTAGCCTCCAGGTAGGTGTCCGTTGACAGTCATTGCTTGTCTTGCCTCTTGTCTCTTCCTGAAACGGTTGTGCACGTTTCCTTGAAGATTACTTTCAGGGAGTTCCAGTGTTCTTCCACACCGGTTTCTTCAGTGGTGCTATGTGGTTCCTACGACTTTTCTCGATGGCTACAGTGAAGATGTAGTGGTTTGTAGTTTCATCCTTCAGTTTCTAAGTGTTCCACTTGAGTTGTGGCCCGTCTCTAGCTTTTTTGAGTGAATTCAGCTTCACCTTGGAGGTTCCTTGAACTAACTAATTAACTGATGGTCTGAGCCGACATCTGCTCGCCTTCTCGATTTAGTGTCCAGCAGGCTGAGTCTACACTTCCTTGAGGAAGAATGAGATGAAGTCTATCTGGTATTTGGTTTGTCCATCGGGCGAAATCCATGTCACTGGCCTTGTGTATATCCTGGTGTTTGTACACGCTGCCTGGAATCACCAAATGACTGAAAGCGCAGAAGGCTTAGAGTAATTCTCCGTTCTCACTCATTTAGCCGATCGAGAGCCTGTCGACCCATGATTAGTCCTCTTCCTGTATTTTCTGCCTGCAGTTTGATTGACATTCGTATAATTATTGAGAATTTGGGAATGTGCATTCGGAGTCTTTTTGGCTTCTTTTGTCAGTATGGAAGCCTAAGATGCCATAGATGACAGACACGGTGTCATTCAATCCGCTAATCACTGTGTTCGTTGTTATTATCTGTGCGACCGGTGTAGAATACTGATTGTTTCTATTGAGTATTTTGGATCGTATTGCATATGTATTCCATTTTGCCGCTCTTCTCTGTCTCTCACCTCTGTCACTGTTTGAGAAGTATTCCCAGCTCCAACGACTGTACAGACACTAGATAGACTTTTCGGTAGATATTCGGAAAATCGGAGGTGCTCCCACAGACACATGTAAATTGGTATATGCTATAAGGTTGTTAACATGAGAAAGTTATCTGTCGAATTTCGATTGTAAAAAAGTCATATGTTGTCCGATAAACGGGAACGGACTTATCTATGTGCAGGAGACAGGCTCCGACTAGTGAAGCATGCAACCTTCTGTTGATCAGTCCTACGGTATATTTTCACCTTTGAATTCCGGTTGAATGAGGTTCGGCTTTTTTCCACTGTGGTTCGATTGACATCTGAGCCTCGCGTATACCTTCCGTATTTGAGTCTTTTAAGATAACTGTTATTTTTCAACATCTTTTCGAGAATCACAAGTTCTTTCTCTAATTTCGTTGTGTACAACATATTCTCCTAACTCTATAGAAGGGAGTTTTGAGTAGTGTTCATCCTTATATCTATTTGGACAGAAACTATTAAAACGTCGGTATTGCCCATTTCGTGTTGGCTTTCTGGAGACTATAGCCAAATAAACCAATTTGCCATTATTTTTATTGATCTCTTTTCCTCTCTTAAGTTAAAAATCAATACTTTTCAAACATTACATAAAATACTAATTACTTTTAGTTAATAGTTAATAATAGTATTTTCGTGAAATATGTATGAATTCACTAAAGAAGGAATTATGTATTTCAGAATTAATTAAAATCTTCATTTATTTAATAATCATTTAATTGATAATTTTATTGGGATATTCACTGTTTAATTCAATTATACCATTGGTTCACAATTATGTCTAAATTATCACCGGATCAGATCAACGTCCTTTCAGTTCGCGCCTACTATGATAATAAAACATTTACAAATACAACTGAAATGACAAATTTGCTGAAATATGAAAGTCAACATTTCCGATGTAAAGTCCAGCTAGAGATTAATGAATGTATTGCCGACCGATGTTGGAGTATTGGCCTCATACAGGCATGCGATCGTATGTATCTAGAGAATCGTTACGGACATAGTGGTAGTTCATTTTGGGAATTCCACCCACTGAAAAGTGGACGACATAAAATGGTCAATGACAGCGACGGGAGACAGTATCCTTTCTATAGTCTAACAAGTAGTAAATTTGAAATACGTCGAGGTGTTGTGTCTGATAGTCTGGTGTCGTTGACTTATGAGGATCATTTCTATCCAACTGTTGCTTGGGAGTTGCCCTACTATGGTGGTGCGAAACTGACAGATGTGATAAGAAAACAAGACTTTTGGGTTTGGCTAGTCGCTATCAAACGTGCTAGTAGTCGTTCAATCTCATGTGATCTCTTCAATGCAAAACACGATGAAGTATACATTTTGAAGACAATGCGTTGGCGTTACAGCCTACATATGACTTTTGATCCACACCAACCAATCGGGAAACGTTTGCAAAGAATTTACGATGTGCAAGAGGAGCAACCAATCATTTTAGATGGGAACAGATCTCTTCCGCTTTCAGCTCTAAGTCCACCACACTGTAATGCTGCTCAATCGCTTATCTGGTATCCGAATAATCCTACAGATCGACCGAAATTACTTGTCCCACCGAAACAAATTATTGTCCCTTGGGAGACATGGATTAATGATATGGCACCGGGCAGGGGTTTGAATGTTAAAAAACCGGAACAATGTAAGCTTGTAGGGGAATGGTCCCACGATACAGAGATTGGGATTGACACAACAACAGATAGTTGTTGTCTGACAAAACCAGGGTATGGCAGTGGCAGTAGTCGTGGTTGGAAGACAACAGCACCGGTAGAACCAGCTGTCACTGGTGCCACAGCCACGAACAACACAGTCTCTACTTCAAGATCTACGCGTACCCCAAGTCGTCCAAGAGGTTAAACACTGCAGAGATTGAATTGTAAACACCTGATTTATATTTATTCATCAAAAAGGATCACATTTATTTTCTATTACTTTGTATTTCATTTTATCAGAGAAGATCACTGATGAAGATATCAGCATCATCAATCACACAAGGATAAATTGATAGAAGGGGATTTACTTCAAAAATGTCTTTGTTTATAGATTTTACTTTTCTGAATATTCTGTTCTCTAAATGACAATTCTAGAAACGATAATAATGCTATTAATAATTGTCTAATTGCTGTCATTGTCTAAAGTGAGTTTTCATGAGATTTTGTGCGTGTCCCCCGGTGAGTGAACACCTAGTCACTAGAACATTGAATTATCTATCGTTTTAAGTTTGCTTTCCATCGCATTTTATTTATCTGTATGTATATAGACAGAAAGATAGATATGTGTGCATTCTTTTGAGTTGAATCGTTTGTAAAATACTTTCAGTAAGTTTATCTTTTTAAAAATTTATTTTGCTTTCTTTTTCAATTATTTTATTATTTTATCTTCAATAATTATCATTATTATTATTATTATTACTAATAATAAAATATATATGTGACATAGACAGCAATCTGAGTTCCGAGTAGAAAATAATGGAGGTCTCTTCAAGCTTTGAGCAGTAGCATTTGAAACATGTTGGCTGATCAACTGATTGATTTGTTTTGACCTAGAACTATTTTGCACAGATGTTCAACACTTCGAGTTGCCAGTCTCCCCCCCCCATGTACACACAGCGAGAGAAGAGAGAGTAAAGAGAGATTTATCAAACAAGAGAGTAAGATGATAAACAGAAGTCAGAGGGTAAAAGAATAGTAATAACAATATAAATCACACAAAGAGTGAATGCATCTTCTCCAGCCGTCATGAGAACAAGGATTTTGATCCATATCAGACCAATTTTTTCCAGCCATCCTTGGTTCTTACTATCCCGAAGACCCCAACCAGGTAAGCAGACAGTCTACACCTCCGTATGTGGTGGCTGACTGGCTAGCTTAAACTAACTGGTGCTATGAATATCATTGACTGATGAAACGTGTTTTAGTCTGACCACCCATCACTAGCTAACTGTTTTCCAAACCTGATCCATCCTTTGTCAGCTAAGATAACATTTCTGTTGAGGAAGGCAATCGATGGCAAGGCTGACATACGTAAGGCATATCCTTGTCATCTCAATCGATGCAGCTGCTTGACAACCTCGTCGATTGATTTTCCTTCCCACCTACCTAGCACTCGATCGATGCCTCACCTCTAAATATTACTCACCTTAGTATACCACTTAAATAACACAGGAGATGGAATGCAGACACCTGTGATCAAAAACAGCTAGGCGGTCTTTCCATTTCTTTCACTTTCAGCGGCTTGCATGTCTCACTCACAGCCAAAAAGGAGGACGGAGCAGACTGCTTCTGCTGCTGAGCAGTAGACACGTCTTTTGATTGACTGTCAGTCAGCTGGATATTACCTCTACTGCAAAGATGACATCAGCTGGCAAATACCATACGAACGAGTTCTTCTTATCCATGCTGAGATTTTCTCAGAAATCAGTCCGTTTGAGCTAGGTTGGTGAAACTTCCCAACAAGTGAAGCCGTAAACAACCAATCTGCTTCTGCATTTCTTTAAGCCAGCTGAAAGTTAAAGTAGTCCTGTAGCCTTATCATCCTACATTTGACAGGAGTAAATCGCATGCCAAATATTTGAAGATTGCTACTACTCAAGGTGTCCAGAGTAGACTCAAACTGTAGTTTGTCAGCGTCTTCCTCACCTTGGGGGTGGACTGTATCATCCACATTTTATTCTAAGTCAACGAGATTATCCTCTGGTGGTAACAAGTCAATACCTGAGTCTCTGAAGTCATTTAAGGTTATGCTGCTTTTATACACAGTTGGCGTTGATAATCTGACATGTCCAACCTACCCTCTTTAGGATTATTTTCATTTCTTTGGGTCCTATGTCCTGTTTTCTGCAGGCGCCTTTAGCTGGAACCACGATTGCCCGTAAGCTTTCATATCCTTTATATAATAATATAACCTGAGCCACAAGGTAGAGCATAATTCCACCTTACATTGTGTAATACATTTTTCGAGGAAAAAGTTTGCCAATATCTGACTGGTCTAAAGATTTCTTCGTTTAATATAATTATAAATGTACAGCTCATGAAAATGGATCATCGAAATGAAAATTTTCTTCTTTGTCTGCGCCTTTTTTCTTATGACTCAATATGAGAATATTTCGTTCATTGTTTTTCCACCTCTTTGGAACTCTTGCATTTCTTACAACTCTTAAATAATTCCATATTTTCCTTTGTTTCTATGTGAAAATCCTGATCAGAACTGACGCATTCATTATATTACTCATCCTACTAAGTAACTCTAATACTCTTCCTTATTCAACTCCTCTTATGCATTGACTAACACTAACTTTTGTTTATACCCTCTTACACAAAAAGCTTGTATATAAATGTGATTGTACAGCTCTAAAGAGGAGAGAATTAATTCGCCGAAAATGGCTGGAGATTCTTAGCTGTGTCACGTGTTTTGTATTCATTAACGAGGAAAGCATAATCATCTGAACACTCTGAATCAACAGGTAATAAGTCAATCCCTGCCGAAGTCACTAAAGTCATTTAGAGTAAGTTCCATAGATATATCTGTAATGAAATTAAACAAGTTTGGGGATATAGTCGTCATCCATACCAGATACCAGATAAAAACTCTTCATAAGCTGTTACATGGGGTGAGTGATTCTGAGTAGACTGTCTCGATTAATGCGATATGGTACATTTCTTGGCACTGCCTTCAAAGGTAAGCAATGTTGCCATAGTATCAACTCCTCTTCCAGTTGACAGAGTCAAATATACACTCACTCACACGATCTAGTGTGGTTAAAAGTGCAACACTACCCACACCACAATCTAGACATCAATAATAATTTGCTTTATTTCATATGTATAAGGCGGCTTGTTTGAAGAACGTTGGGCTGCCTTAACTTCCCTCTACATATTGCATCTAGTCTATCGTGTTTTATTTGTATCAGTGTTGACAACAAGTTGACACACATAAGTTAGAGAACCACTGGGAAATCAGCCAGGGCCTACTGGACTGCTGTTTTGTCAGACTAGTTCGGAAGGACCTGGGTAATACGCATCCACCACCAGGGTTCGAACCACCCTATAGCTTCCGGTTATGAGGCAAGCTTGTTGATGAGCGTTAAGCCACTGGGACCCGAACCAATGGCCGGTGCATGAATTCCAACTTCTGACAATTCATGATATACATATTTAGCGCGAATGGCAACCGACGTCGCTGGAGAGTGCTTGTCCCCCTGCTTGAATCGGTGGGCCCCATTGGTTACTATTTCCCAGTGGAACTCCAGATAACTTCCTGTATACATCCAGTCACCAGTGGGCGTCAGAATAATTATCAAGTTTTGGTTTGCAGGGATTGGACTGGTTACAGGACTTCATTATCAGCTGACCTCATTTGAAGAACTACTGGAAAACTGGATGGGAGTACTGATGAAGAGTCCCAAACTAGGCTGACGAAACAGCTGTCCAGTACTCCTTGGCTGGCTTTCCAATGTTTTTCTGACTGATGTGTTTCACCTCGTGGCCAATCCTGTAACCAGTCGAATCTCTGCAAACCAACAGTTTTATTTTGTGTCACAGTATGACGTCAAATAGTATTATTTACTCTCTAGTGAATTTTTCGAAATGTTTAAAACCAGGTGACTTTCAAATTTCCATGACAAAGCATCTTAGAGAATGCATCACGGTGGTTAGCGATCAGCACTAAAGCCGCACACACCTGTACATCGATAGTACTACTGTTCCTGTTATTATTAATATCTACCAACTGCCGTTCTTTTCTCAATAAGATTATGCGTATCTGCAATCTCTCTCTTGTACTCCTATGACACTAACCACAATACAGCTATGAACACGACAACAAGAAATTTGGCTCCACGAGGTTTATGATGACAGTCTTATCTCCTTCGCTACTAAATGCTTCAGCATCATTCAGACAAGACTGACTTTCATATAAAGTGTGATCAGATTTGATCGAACGGTTCCTAAAAAACTAGGGACCAAGTGAGAGGTAGACATATGTTAAAATTATATTTTGATTAACAGAGCCAAACGTCTAGTTTCTGAAAAAGAAGAGATCAACAGGGAACTAAAATTGGTCCAGTCGACTCCTCAATCAATTAATTACCTGAAAGCCTTTTTACAAAGGTATTCAAAAGTGAAGATAAGGAACATGAATATAATCTTATTGCTAAGACTTAGGTTAGTACAGTGCTAATTCCTCCCTTAAAGAAATATCGGATGAAATAAAGCGAAAAATCATGGTGTCCCATGCCGATTTTCTTCAAAGAAGGCTGAGGGAGATTAATAAACTGCTTCACTGACTTTGTATACTGAGATTCTGAGTTGCGCGAGACCATCAGGTTCAGAGACAATGCACGTCTAACTGTACCACCAATGTAAGCTCTATTGAGTGGATCAATCAGTTTGGGACTAATTGGGTCTACCACTAATGTATCGTGCCGTTAGTTATCAGTGCTCAAGATTAGCGGTGGGACATCCGCAATGAAAAATGACTTACTGCAGTCATTCTGGAAACCGCAGTCCAAAGTCACGTGTTTTCATCCACACGTAACAACACTGAACTTGTTAACAGCTTGAAGTGTTACTACTGGGTTGGGATGCTGACGTCCATGCTCACTACTGCTCCCGTGTCAACCAAAATTGCAGCTGTGATATTTGAACCTGTTACGTAAAACAAATGGCTATTACTTTACTGATTGCTGATGACAGAATTTGTCACAAATCTCGACATATCCTTTAAATTTATCCGGAAATTACAAGGAAGACGGTTTGGTAAGCCAGGTGGCTAGCTGGGCTGCTTCCAAAGTTGACTTCAACTGGAAGTAATGCCCATGATTGCTGTTTGGCTATCAATACTACTAGACCTGGGTACTAGCCACACTACATACTGACTCTTTAGCCTGGCATAACTAACGTGATGGTCAGACTGACCTTAACATTGCCGTAACTAGAGAAGAGGGAATATAGCTCTTACGTTTGCTGAAAGATGTGACAATTGTCGATGATTTGCAGAAAGTGGACAAGTAGCTAACCACAGCAAAACGAAGCTGCCAAGCTCTTGCCCCTTGAAAATCATATTGACCACCATATGTTTCAGTCCTCATGGATAAATAAATTGATTGCTGATAGATAGTTAAACGGCCGAGGTTCGATTGAATTAGCGAACTTCTTTGATCTCCTATAACTGTATCGTCGAACATTGCTTCCTTGAGTGCGGTGGTACCAACAAACGTTACCAAGATCTCTGGAGATGCCAGGTGACCGATAACGACGTCTATGAGATTGAATTCAACAAC